TTGCTAAGATTCAATAGTTAATGTTTTCTTAAAATTCCATGCTACTTTTAATTTGGATGAGTTATTCAGTGTATTTTTAACATCTAAAAGTGGTGCTGCTAGGCTTGATTTTGCTTATAATCCCAATATAGTCCTGACTTAATGTTTGGTGTGGTTGTCATTTCGTTTTGAGATGTGAATTTAGAAAAGGATTGCAAAATAGGTACATGAAATATTTTAAGTACCTAGGTGATCCAAACATTTTCAGAATAAAATTTCACATTCCTACAGGACTGTCTCTTTATCAGGGACAAGTCTATTGTGAGAAACTCATTTGTAACTCTAAAGAGTGTATAGGGAGTATCATTTTTTTAATCCCCTTTTTGATTCAATGTAGTACGTTGATTTATTTTTATTTCCTTTAATTTCCTCCTTGGAAAGTGCATTTTACATTCATTTGTAAGAGCCCTGCATCTTTCAAATGCTTTCCTTTATTTTCCTGCCTGGTATCGGGGCACCCGAAGAGGCTGCTGTTGTCACGTTCTCGGAACGTTCCTTTCCGCCTGGGATGTGCTGGTTGCCTAGCAGCAATTCGAGGCACAGGCTGCAGCAGGCTGCCGGAGGAGCCCTGGGGTTTTCGTTGCTTATGCAGCCATTTTTCTCCTCAGCTTTTCTGCACAAGCTACTTTCTGTTCAGCGGGAAGGGCATGCATTTTGGGGAATGCAAAATCGGGTTTCCGAAGTGACCCGTTCTTGAATTTCCTTAAATGGTGGAAGAATGGCAGAAGTACAATTAACTAAGGGTATGCTAACCTTACTGTGCAATGTTGCACGTATTCCAAAGATGTACTGTGGTATTGCAAGGATTCCCTCACCACTGTTCAGTGGTGTTTGGTATTGCTTCCTTCACTGGAACAGTGTACTTCTCTGCTCTACACTTTTGAGCAAGGTTTTGTGCTTCAGAAAGAATATATCTTAGATTTTCAGTAGAAATTAACAATATTGGTTATTTTTTTAAGAATACACAGGGGCCATAAAGTCATCTTTTAATCCTAAAGACTTGGAAAGGTTGCAACCAATCTGTTTCCACTATTGCATCTGAGTGAGAGCTGGTGATGCTGTTGTGAAGCTGAATCTGTGTGACTTGGGTCTTTCCACCTAGCAGTGTTAGCAATTGCTGTTTAGTTTTGCCATTTGGACGGGCTTTCACTAAACTGTGCGTGTGTTTTTGTTGTATCGCTTGGGGTCTTCTCAGCAGTACGGAGCTGTGGCAACGCTCTGCCAAGTGCAGCCCTTGATCCGTTGGCCTCCCTGGCCACACGGGCACACTGGTGGCTCATGGTAGCGGGCACAGCGTAGTAGTAATTTTATTGGGTTAAGCTGTTTGGCTTTATAGTAGATTGTGCTTTGTTTGGGTTTGATTAAAGAGATATTTAGAAGGGCATGCCTGCTGGATAATGCCATTTCCATCAAAGAAACAGTCTGTGAAGAGCCTGAGAAGGCAATGGTGTTGGAACAGGATGGGGAGAGTAGGTTTAGAAAGCACGTGTCCGCTGGCGCTGTTCCTTGTGTCCCCCCAGCCAGCTTTCAGTTAGGGCAGCTAGATACGTGGCAACAGTGCCTTTTTCAGCATGTAGACAGAGAAATTTCTCAGAGCCTACAGTACTTTGTTTCAATTTTCAGTTGCATAAAATGCTAGTATAGACCAGCAGGACTAAGCAAACATTGTCGGAGCTGCATGGAATTCATGACTCCAGAAATATCACCGCCAGTTTTAGACCTGTATTGGCCTCCATGGCAGCTGGTGTTCAGAAATCTCATCATCTTTCCTTCCCTCCCCTGGGCTTTGGGATCAGCAGGGGGCGGCACTGACTGCTTTGTGGGATTATCATTTCCCTCCCCGCTGCTTCAAAATACTTTAAAATATAGAGAACTCTCGGCACCCTCTTTACTCGGCCAAAAATAAGTTATTAAATATCCCATAAAGTATATTTGCCTGTAAATTAAGTTTGCAGGTCACAGTTAATAGAGGAGGGCATGGGAAGGGAAGATGTAATTTAGAGTTGCATTCAACTTGAAATTTGGGAATGTCGTCCTGGCTTCCTGTATTACAGTGTTTTGCTTCTCTTTGTTACTCTGGCTAAGTTGGAGGGCTGAAACAGAAGAAAATGTTTTTCTTCTCCTTTTCCCTCTAATCATAGCTTTACGTGGAAATATTTCTTACAAGAGATTAAAGTTATTGCTGTGGAAATCAATTATTTTAGATTGTCTATTTTCAATTTTACTGTAATACATATTAAGTAGTTTAAGTTCTTATAGTTACCTAACCGTGCACCACAGATTTGAAAAATTGACTCCTGACAACTAATTGTGGATGTTTGGATTGAATGCTAAGATTATTTGAGTTTATCTTTTCCATTGAATAGTTAAGATCTTTTTGAATTTCAAAGATAATTTTTAGCACCTGAGTTTGGAGCTCACAGCTCTTGCTAGTGCTGCATAAAGTGTTTGTGCAGTATAATTGTACACGGTGCAACCCTCAAACCATATCTCTTATTGGATCAAGGCTGTTCCAGGTGCCGCGGCAGCAGAAGTGTCTTGTTTGCTGTATTAAATGCAACTTGAAAACCTGCTTGATTATGCTAGAAATCAGTATTTTGGTGACAACCCTGTGTAGTCAAGGGGGCAGCCGTGGGTGGTGTCTCTCCCTGTGGCTCTAGTACATGGCGCTCTAAGTGCGGGGCCTCTCGTGCAGCCCTCCCCTGCTTCGAGTGGAGCTCGTACTCTGGGAAATAGATTCACTCGGCGGCCGAGTCGTTGCTTTCTCTCACCCTCTTAAAACCCTGGTAAGCAACTGTATGACAGGACTTTTTGCGTCTTATCACCGATGACTTTCTCTGTAATTGTTTTTAGCGGTCCCCCTGGCCATACTGCCCGGAGCTGTTGCCAGGCCAGGCAGCAGTTGAAGGCAGCCTTGGGCTGGGCAGGAGCGCGTGTCCCGTCTGGAATAACCCGCCGGGTGCTCCCGCGGGGCGGGAGAGCTAGAGGCGCCTGAGGATGCGGCTCACGTGCGGGCTGCGCTCTTCAGCCCCTGGGAGGGCAATGGTTGTCTCATGACAGTTTGGAAAGGTTCCCATTTGGTTTGTGGGGTGGATTCCTTTGGAGCAGAAGTGACTGGAAAATTATGGGTCATGGAGTTGCGTGGTGAAAATTTCACCACAGTCGTGTTCTGGCTTTGAAACAAGAGTATTTTGCTGCAGTTGTTTGGCTGACTCTATTTGGAAATTAATTTATTGTCTTGCTTAACTTGGAAAAAAACAGAGGCCTACGCCACTTCCTGCTGGAAAGCAGCAGCAAGTTACAGAATTAGTGTGTTAATGCCAATAATGAATATAATATTCTCCCAGTGGAAATTTTTTTGTGTGCAAGTCTATGGTGGTACGTGGTGAGGTATCCTCAGCCACTTTGGCAAAACAAACCTTTGTGTTGCTGACAAGGCAAGGAAGCAAAATTTGGCTCCAAAACATTAAAATCAACATTTGTTCTTCAGGAGGCAGCTGTTGTTTCGCTGAGGAAGCACTGTACAGCGAGCAACAACAGAAGGATTAAATATTTTCAGCCTTGGCGCTCCTTAGAGGGTCTTAGTTTGACTCCACATTTTATTTTGCTGGCACACGTTGCTGTATCGCTTTTCCCTTTTTTTCTTTTTTTTTCCCTTTCCTGAATTGTGCACTTGGGATTCTGCGTTTCTCTGAGCCGTGTGCGAGTGCCCAGAGAAGGAGGAAGCCTGTTTCCCCCGGGGGTTTGCTATAACCTCAGAAAAAATCACACTGCGCTCCCTGTGCCGAGCAAGCGCGCGCTAGCGGGGAAGCGACTCGATGAAGGATTGCGCCTGGCGCTTGGCCCACGCTGCTCCTGCCCTTGCGGGAGGCGCTGTGCAGAAGCCAGGAGCTGGTTAACGGCCTTGGTGCGGCACGTTCTGCGGCGGGAGCTGGCAGCGGCCGTTCCCAAGCAAGGCTGCGCGCCGCCGCCGCGCGGGCAGGAGCGTGGTGGCCCTGGGCAAGGGCAGGCTGGCGTGGGGGGGCGCGCTCCTCC